CCATATTCTACAAACTCACTATTCACTCTTGTAAAAAACAACTGTGTCAGATCTCTTCACTCGCTTATAATCGACTAAACCAAATTTTTTTGATATTAATGAATGACTATTTAAAGACCATTATCCATTTTATTAATCATGGGTTTTCCAAACAAAATCGATATTTATACTATTTAATATAGCGTTTACATTTATCAGAAACGATCTTTCGCTAATCGACTTTTTCTATCTAAACTATCAAAAGACTATTAACTAAATACCTATGTATTTTAAGAGTTTCTTTATTTCTTGTTATTTAATGGGTCATTATCATAATGACAAAAATAACCATAAATAACGTTACAAAAATAAACAGATTTAAATAAATATAATATGCTTTGAAAAAATGGTTTAAATATCTAACAAACCGAAACAAATAATGTAATACCCTTAAAGTACGTCTATGACCAGCTGAAAATACCCTAGCCTACGCAGTGCTAACAATAACAGGTATTTAAGTTTTACGATAGTCCATGTGACATGGAAAAATTTCTATCTAAATAGTCAAACTCAACGTAAAATAAGTTAAAATATTGACGTTGTACCACAAGCATACGTACTAAAATACGCTTAACAATTTATTTTTTTTTTTAATAATTTACTCCAGCTTATTCTTCAAATATACTATAGCACGGGACTTTTCCCGGTGGGCCGGTAGGCTAGAAAGGCCCAGTATAGTAAAAAATTTAAAGGAAAAGTCTTCTTCTTCTTCTTTTTTCTTTTTATATGCAGGCTTTAAAGTATGTTTCTTCTTCAATATTAGCCTCCTAAATTGTTTAAATTGTCGCACAATCTTTTTCTTGGTCTGCCAATACTTCTTCGTCCATTTGGTGACTTATCTAGTGCTATTCGTACTATTCTATCCTCTGTCATTCTACTGATATGTTCGTTCCACTCCTGCTTTCGTTTTGTCACTCATCCATTTATGTCTTCTATATTGCATGCTCTTCTTATGTTTTCTCTTCTCTCCCTATCCAACAGACTTCTCCCTGATATTCGTCGGAGTATTTTCGGCTCTGTTGTTTCTAGCAATCGTCTCGTTTTAGATGTTTCAGGTCTTGTCTCCGCCGTAAATATAGGTCTAATTGCTGCTTTATAGATTCTTGTTTTTGTGTCTTATCTTAGGTGTTTGTTCTTCCAGATTATGTCATTAAGAGAACCCGCCGCTTTACTTGCTTTTAAGGTTTGTTGTCGTACTTCTTCTTCAACATCTCCGTAACTAGTTATATCAATTCCCAGATATCTAAACCTTGCTTCCTACTTTATTACTTTCCCGTCAATTTCGATTTTACACCGTAGTGGGTATTTAGATGTTGTCATACATTTGGTTTTTTCTGCTGATATTATCATATTGTATTTCTTAGCTGTTGTATTAAAGATATGTGTTAATCTTTGGAGCTCGTCTTCTATCTCAGCGATTAATGCGGCGTATTCTGCATAACATAATATTTGGATTTCTTTGTTCCCCATTCTGTAGCCATGACCTTTAAGTACTGCTTGTATTATTTCGTCCATTATTATATTAAAAAGAAGTGGGCTCAACGAGTCACCTTATCTGACTCCGCTTTGTACTGGTATACACTGTGTTAGTTTTCCATTTATCTTTGCCTGTATTCGATTATGGAGGTAGATGTTTTCGATGGTTTGTATAATATTAATTGCTATGTTTCTTTTATACAGTAGGTATAAGACGTCTTTTACTTGGATGCGGTCGAAAGCCTTTGTCAGGTCTATAAAACATAGATATGCTGATTTATTGTACTCGATGGCCTTTTCTGTGATATTTCTTAGTACAAACACGGCATCTACGCAGGATCTTCCGAATCTGAATCCTTGTTGTTCATCTGATAAAGTTGTTACTTTATTGATTTTATTGGTTAGGCCTTTTGTGGTAAGCTTGAGTGCCGTGTTCAGTAGATTTATACTTCTATAATGGTTGGGGTCTTCCTTATCTCCTTTCTTAAACATTGATATCATTATGCTGTTTCTCCATGCGTCAAGTATTTTGCAGTGCAATATTAGTTTTTGTATAAGTTTTGTCGTCATCTCTAGGGTTATACTTTCTCCTCTGTATTTTAGAAGCTCATTGGTTATTTCGTCTGGTCCTGGTGACTTTCTATTTTTGAGCGAATTTATGGCTATTTTTACTTCCTGAAAATGATTTCTATTTCGGGTCTTAATTCAGGTACGGTAATGTGTTGATTATTATTTTCCTTTGCTTTAAAAAGTTCCGTCAGGTGTCTTTCCCATTCGTTTGCTGGTATGTTATTGTACTTCTTCAATTCTGCCATTGCTTTCCGTTGGTTTTTTATAAATCTCCATATTTGTTTTAGTGTACCATAGAAGTCGCTTTCCATCCTTTTTGTAAACTGTTCCCAGTGTTAACTTTTTGTTCTTCTTACCAACTGCTTTGTTTCATTTCGTAATCTTCTATAGTTGTCTCGGGATTCTGGGGTATTTAATGTTTTGTACTTCATGTAGGCCTCTCGTTTCTCTTTTATTTCTTTTCTGAACCAAAGTGTATTGTTGTTGTTTCTTTTGTTCAGTATGACGTTGAAAAAGAAAAGTAAAACATTTTTTATTTGGTACAAATATGTTATTGACTATTTTTTTTGGTTTCATGTAACTCCCATCATTTAAATAATTTAAAACAATGTCGAAAATATAAATAATTCGTTAATGATGATATTATGGTATATACAGAGGGGCTAAACCACAAACACTGGAAAATCAATAGCGCAAATCCTCCTAAATTCATTTCCACTGCACAAAAATTATTGTTGAATAAGTATTAAAAAAAAACAAACAAACAAATTTAATCTTACATACTATAGCTTAAAAAAAGGGTCTTAAGCCCAAGACATATAATTTAAACCAGCATACCATATTGCTCAAAATAGATGCGTCATGAATGTGGGCATGTCTATGATAAGTGCCGTGGCAACCACACGTGTTTTCAAAGGACGCCGACATTAGGTTTTCCATTTCTGTTTTCCAATAAATATAAACTCATATACAACATGGCCGCGAAATAAAGGTGTCTTAAACCAAATACTTAAAATAGTTTTAATTTAACCAAGATAACCTAGAGCAGTAAAATAAAGGAAGTCTTTTTTAACAACAGAGAGTTATTTTTTAACTTTACCTTTCTACTTTCTACTTTAACCAAACAGCAAAAGTCAGAGTCGGCAAAGAACTATCGGAGGAAGTAGAGATAAAAAGAGGCGTAAGGCAAGGTTGCATACTCTCCCCCTTATTGTTTAATCTATATTTGAAAGAAATAATTAAAAAATCACTCAAAAATGTAACAATTGGAATAAAAGTTAACGGCAGACCCATCAACAATATCAGATTTGCCGATGATACTGTACTAATTGCAGAGAATATACATGATCTACAGACACTTTTAGATAATGTAGTAAATTCTAGTCAGGAAAGCGGACTAACGCGTAATGCTAATCAAACAAAATTTATGACAATTTTCAAAACACAACACCAAGACATTTTAAACATAAGAGGAGTTCCAATAGAAAAAGTAAAAAAATACAGATATCTTGGTACAATTATTAATGAAAATAACGAGTATACAGATGAAATAAAAATGAGAATTCGACAAGCTAGAGCAACATTTAATAAGATGAGAAAATTATTATGCAGTAGAGACCTTAGTTTGCAACTCAAAACAAGAATATTACGTTTTTATGTGTTTTCTGTGCTGCTGTATGGGATGGAGGCCTGGACCTTAAAGAAAGAGGTAAGCGATCCACTTGAAGCATTCGAGATGTGGACCTACCGAAGTCTGTAAAAGAATTCTTAAAATTTATTATGTAGAAATTTAGCCGATTGGCCCCCTCTCTTAAGAATTCTGGATCCGCCGCTGCTTTAAATTTACACATTTATTTTTAAAATTATCCCATGATAATTCTATAAAATCTGCAGAACTTTTTAACGTCGTCAAAAACAATTTAACTAGAGATCTTCAATAATAGAAAATTAATAGTTTTTATATACTTATTATTAATTTGAGAATTTAGTATTACCTACTGAACGAAAAAATTTCAGGTTAAGGAATTGAACATTGAAAAATATATAATATACAGGGTGTGACAAAACCCACTAAAATATTTTTGTTTGTGATTATTTGTTCAATTTTAATACTAACAGTTCTTAGAACCATATGTTATAAGAATAAAAATGATTTTGAATATTGCATTTATATGTGTGAACATAATTCCCTTTTTTCTTCTTCGCGTGCTATATCAGAGTTAGCCGACGTTCCGTTGGCGATCACCATTGCAAAGGTTTCTCGATCTTCTGCATATAGAATAATCATCCTGCATTTGAGACCTGAGTCCATTGACGAATGTTTTTTCAACCAAGAAACCGTTCTATATAAATGTCCCCTCACTATGTTTCCCAGATAAGACATTTTTCGGTGTTTAATAGTCTTTAGCAATTTTCTTCATCTTTGTTAACCCTCTCCTCATTAGTTTCTATGGCTGTCAAACGAATTGGTCTTATTAGATCTTATTAGGAAGAAGCCGTTGGTCAGTAAGTCGGGATTGCTTATACTGACAATAACTCAGACGTTAAAGCCTCATTTGTTATTTATTAGGATGAAACAGATGATCAGAATCGAGATCACATGGGCAGGTGAGGTTGACATTTGGGTAGGAGAGGCTATACATTGGGCATCACTATACCTGACATCCTAAAAATATTCCCTTTAGTAAAGTATAATTATATAAGTAACGACTTAGATAATTCGTGTAAATAATAGTCAATCAAGTTGCACATGTACAAATATACATGTTATATAAGTCACTGCAATCCTTTGGTGTTTCTTTATTTAAATATGCCTTTGAATATTTTATAATAGCAACAAATTAGATAAGAGCTGGATATATCAAATTATCGTTTTCATAATAGTCGTTAAAATTAATTGACGTTATTAATTTTAGGAACAACAGAACAACCTCTAAATATATATCAAGATGAGGAGTTCCCATTTCCTTCTAAACCAGTACGAAGTAGATCGGAGAACGAAATAGCTGCAGAAAAGAACAAGCAATTCTGGTATCACAAAGCTGCGTCAGCGATTCAAGATCGACTTGCCAGAAAAATAAATCAAAGTAAGTGGCAAATGAACAGGATGTAAAGATTAGTTTGTAAAATTAGATGTAGTAAAATTTTTGGTTTAATGTATTAATTAAAGTTGTTAAAACTTGTAGATCATCTACCTACAAGACAAGGAATTTATTATACTGGTTCTTTATTTGCAAAATTGTTGTCGATCAGGCTTTTTAATATTGTAGACTGATTAAGCCCCAAGAGCTAGAATCGAATGGTATAGAGGTTAATATCAATGACCACTAACCAAATAATCTCAGATTCGCTCTTGACATCGTTTGAATATACTTTAACACGCTACTAACATTTATTTAGGATCAACATTACTATGAAACTAGGTAAAGAAACAGAATTAAAAAAATAAAAGTGATTTCGTTACTGATGGAAGGGCATGGGGCAAGACGATCTAAAAGCAGATGAGTTGGTAGAGTTACAAATTGGAAATGAAGGCAAAAGAAAAGCATTTACGAAAGGTGATATACGAACTACCTCAGTATAAATATCAAGGTCCAAAGCACTTGACAGAAGTCCAGAAGAACAAACAAGACTACAGCCTTTTATCGCAGGTGTGAGAGCCAATATTTCGAGCCCATTTTCGAATTCTTATACGATAATGTGTCGTGATTTTATACACTAACTAATTTAAATTTTTCGCGATATCAGTCATCATTGCTGGTTTCCTTTACTGCATCGTGGTTCTCTGAAAATTACAACCTGTCAGTTAGCTTAAATGGCAGTTGGCAAATAATATCACTACTATCGATCAAGTCGTTTCTAGTCATCATATATTTACTCTAAGTAGGTTTAAATTAAAAACTGCATGAAAAATAGCTAATAAAATAAAGAATATCTGTCACTAAGAGATTCCATTGTAACGATTGTCAAAATTTAAAAGTCATAAATGTCATCCGATTAATAACAACATTGAATCATCTGTTTTAATTTTTATGGTATTTTTCGTTTTAAAATAATTACATATAAATATAATTATTATTTTTAAACATATTATTTAGTTTATATAGTAATAAAGTTTACTATCGAATGATTTATTTAAATTTTATAATTTATTTATTATTTGGTCTGAATTTTTCAGGTATGTGAGAAGTAAACAACGTATGTTTTGTTAATACATTAACATGGGACGTTACAAGAAATCATAATAATTTATTGAATTTGCTTAAAATATAAAAAATAAATAACTTATAAAATTACTTTATTCAATTTTAAAAATAATATTTAAATTTTAAAAATACAGAAAACGGTATGTAGAAGCTTCGCGGTAGTCTACAGTACCGACTACTGTTCCACTTTTTTTGTATATATGTAACGGTTAAAACGCGAATATCGGATAAAGTTTGAATTATCCAGGCATAGTGTATAAAGCTATATATTTGTGAATATTTCGTTGTATTCTAGATTTATTTGGTTAATAAATCGACACCCCCATCGAACAAGGTTATAACTCAGTTTTAGCGATTTTACAGGAGAGGCAAAAAACGAAAGAATGTATTTTTAAAAAATTGTAGCGAAATGAGTAAACTCTTAGACACTAGTGCGAAACGATATTTATAACATAAAGAGGGATTACTTTGAGATGTATGTTTTGTAATTTTATTAACTATTGAAAATATTGAGTTTGGTTGGATTAAACTTGACTCTTCGTAGAAAAAAGTTGTAACTCGCTTAACAACCATTTGACACTCTCCGTGTTAATTATTTTTTCCGTTTTACCATTATTATGTTTGAAGTTATTGGCAATATAAATAAGAGAAAATTAGTTTTTATGGTATATTTAAATGAAATATCAACAAAATAAAACTTTCAATTTTAATTGGAAATTATAAATTTGACAAAAACAACAATATTCTACCAATACGAACAAACGAATCACTATAAACAAAATAAAATAATTATCCCAAATTTTTATTCGGAGTCTGATGGTTGAATATTTTTAGGGTCACAAAATTTTAATTGTTTATAGTAACAGTGATATATTTCGGGTATGACATTTGACTTACAAAGACTGTTTAAATCTTTATATTTGTCCTTCGATATGGCGAGAGAATTAGAATAAACGGGATGTATATCTGTCAGGGTGATACGCTCATTGTTATCTTTTGTTGACTTCCTAGCTGAAGAACGTTAAGTTACAGGCAATTGTTCTAAATTAACGCAGTAATTATTTTCGGAAAGAACGTCCTAATTAACGTGAATTATTTTCGCATTTTCATTGCGGCTCTCTAAATATTCAGATCATTTTACTTGATTGTTTTTAATATCTAGGCCAAAATTAATATGGGTGTCCTGAAATAGTTTAAAATTTAAAGTTTGTTTTTGATTTATTTCTGTTAATGAATACGGTTTGCCTGATGTTTTAGCACTTATGGTTATCTATTGCTCTGGAACATATACGATTTGATGTTTTTTACGTCTTTCTATCAGAGCATACATTGAATTGCCCTTGTTTTGTGAATGCCCTACTTCAAAAAACACGTGTGTAATATTAATGTTAAAGTTTTTCACTGCAAAGAAGTACACAGCAAAAACTATTCTATTTCTGTTTTGTAATCCGCAACTATCCGAAAAGAAGAAAAAGTCTGTAAATCCCTTTTTGACTTTCATTTCAATAAATAAATATACAGCACTAGTAATTTCGTTAGCATCTTTCCGGCCAACAGTCTCATCCCAGTCATAGCAGTGTCCTTCATTGTCTCCTAAATCAAAGACTGTAACATTGTAGACGGTATGATGCAGAAAATTCTGACATTGGAGTAGATAAGATCTTCTGAACATCAAAGCATGCCGCAACTACTGAGTTTCAGAAGTGATTAATTACAGGGACCCGATCCGTCAACTGCGCATGTGCGAAACGACTGCATTCGAAATATTTCGAACCTTCAAATGAAAATTTTAAGCGGTATCTTGCATTGTCAAATAAAAATTGTTTTGAATTGTTCCCTATTTACGTAATTAGTAAATATATCAGTGAACTGATTTTGTAAAATGTGGTAAAATTTTCTCAAATCAGTCTAAGCTTTCTACGCCGATGCAATGTGCAGAAAATGTGCATTTAAATAAATGTCTGGAAGATTTCCAGTAGCTTTTTTTTCAAGCCGACTTCTACATTAATGAACTTTATTTTACAGATATTATGAAAGTTGTTCATCGGATTGTTACAGTTGTTGTATCAGATCAAATTTCATCGGAGCTACTGAAAGAAGGAGGAGACGCATTACTTAAAGCCATACATGAGCTTATAAGAAAGATATGGTTGAATAAACAGCTACCAAAGGAGTGGAATAGTGGCATTATTGTACCACTACATAAAAAAGGAAACCAGTTAGAAGGTGAAAACTACCGTGGAATCACGCTGTTGAATGCGACATACAAAATAATGTCCAACGTAATGTATGAAAGACTTAGACCATACGCTGAAAAAATAGTTAGCAAATACCAATGTGGCTTCTGTAGACAGAAGTCAACAATAGACCAGATATTTGTTCTGCGACAGATCCTTGAAAAAACAAGTGAATATAACATCGACACACATCATCTCTTCATAGACTTCGAAAGCGCATATGACAATATAAACCGAGAATTCCTAACAAAAGCAATGAAAGAATTTAATATACCAACACAGCTAATAGAATTGATAAAAAAAACACTAAAAGTAGAAAGTAAAATCCGGATACAAAATGAATTAACGGAAACAATAGATGTGAAAAAGGGACTACGCCAGGGAGACGCTCTATCATGCATATTATTCAACATCATACTTGAAAAAATAATAAGAGACACAACAGTTAATACCCGAGGAACAGTAATTAATAAAAGCGTGCAAGTACTAGCATTTGCAGATGATGTTGACATAATCGCAAGATCAAGAAGAGAAATGATAGAGGCATTCACTCAAATAGAACGAGGTGCAAAAAATAGTGGCCTTAAAATCAATCAGACAAAAACAAAATATATGCCTGCAAATAAAAACGCACAAATAAGGCAGCTGCCAAATTTAACAATAGGAGAATACAACATTGAGGCGGTAAAAAACTTTACATACTTAGGATCCCTAGTTACGTCTGATAACAACGTTGCAGAGGAAGTGAAGAGGAGAATATTTATTGCCAATAAATGTTACCATGGCTTAATTAGGCAACTAAGATCAGATAACGTCTCCAGAAAAACAAAATGCCAAATATACAAAACCCTAATAAGACCGGTACTCACATACGGTTCAGAAACCTGGACACTCTCTAAAAGGGAGGAAACGTTATTAGCCACCTTTGAAAGAAAAATCTTGCGACACATATATAAGGGCACAAAAGAAAACGGGATTTGGCGGAGAAGGTATAACTTTGAACTATACAACATATACCAGTATCCGGATATCATAACATTCATTAAAATAGGAAGGCTACGTTGGATTGGACATGTGCAAAGAATGGAAGAAGGCGAAATACCAAACAAAATATTTAAACAAGTGCCAGTAGGAAAAAGAACAAGAGGAAGACCGAAGCTGAGATACGTAGAACAAATTTAAAAATTAAAAACTGGAAAAAAAAGCAAGAAACAGGTCAGAATGGAGAAGAATTCTTGAACAGGCCAAGACCCAAAAAGGGTTGTCGAGCCAGTGATGATGATGATGAAAGTTGTTGGAAAAATACAAACACTCTGTTTTATGTCCGCCATTACTTCAGTTTTTTATGGAAGCGTATTGAAGAATTAAACTATTTTAAACACGTTTTAGAACGAGACAACTTTTGAAAACATCCACCTGAAGACAATGATTTTGCCAACCCATACAAGATTAACCCATTAACTGTAATATGTCATTTAAATTTAGTTCATTAATACTTTGTTTACTTTCAACAACAATAAATAAATTTAAGTTTATAATAATACTTATATAATAATTTATTATAATCCTTATCTTCACTCATAAACATGTATTACGTTAAGTATTTTAAACTATCTGGTGCAAAGTTAACAATTTGCATAAGCTACTACAACAAAATAAACAATCTTGGAAGGTTAATATATAAGTCGTCAATATACATTAGGTTAATGTGATTTTCTTTCTTATTACTCAGAGTACAAGTTATTTATTCTCTATATTTTAGTTATGAATGTAACAACTATGTACCTGTAGAAAGAAATATTGTAAAATTTCCTATTTTTATTCCTAATCGTTTTTATAAACTTGCTCAGATTTTTTTAGGTTGGAGATTGTCCCTCGTTGTCACTTTTGATGTCATTTCAAAGATTGCACATGCGGAGTTGACGGATCGGGTCCCTGTAATTAATCGCTCCTCTGAGTTACTACATTGAGCAAGCGACTTAATTTGCGTTTTGAATTCGCGCACCACAGTTTTAGAAGCGATATGATGATTATAATTAAGCTGTAAACTTTCCCTTTGTTCAATCGAAGCTCTTTTATAAATATCACATGTTGCGCATAGATCTTTCTTGGGTTTAAAGAAATATATGTTAAATTCATTTAGAATACTTCTCGATAGTGTCTCTCGGTGGCTTGTATCTCTAGTGCATATTCATTATCATGTAACCACTCTTTATAAAGTTGATATAATTTGGGAATCGTTAAAGATTCGTCAAAATATTATTTACGGCTACGAGCCCTCACGTAATGTGAGTCTACAACTGGTATCTGAGCAACATGTGTCCTCATTGTGTCAAAGTACTGTGGTACTTTGGGCGGTTTTCGTGACGGCCTCGTTGATCGGCTAGTGAAACACAATCAGTTACTTCCATATCAATATTTTTATAAATAGTGGTAACCCACTTATCTGTAATATCTAGAGTATCGAAAAACATTTTCTTACATACTTGTGTTTTATCATCGTTTATCAGAAATGAATATTTACATGACCAGCGGCACCTTGAAGTTGCAAGTGTTGCAAGTACTGCTTGTTTTTTAGGTATTCTTTCAACACAGTTATTTATAAAGTGTACTTGATGATTATGATTCCCAAAAGCCCAAAATTGTGAAAAAATCTGGTTTCTAATTTCTAAAGATAACTTTGAATACATTTTTTGGAACAGTTCTGTGTACACTCTTGTTTCATTTGCCTTTCTCGGATTTGTTGACCTCGTTGATTCGTGAATGCCAATCCTAATTTTGTTTTCCTTTTATTCAAGTTGCATTTCCAATTGTTGGTATTGCGTGTCCTTTTACGACCAGAAGTACATTTTCCCGACACATCTCGTTTCTTTTTCTTATGCGAATTATGTTCTATATCAGTAGCACTATATTGGGTTTGCATATTTAGGTTTGTTTTTGGTTCAACCTCATCTATTTCTTGTAGATTCTTTTCTTTTGGTCCATCCGAATAGCCACTGCCTACAAAAAAATTATTTTTTGTATATCTATCTGAAGACCACAGAATAACAATAGAAATAGAAATTAACAATTTGTAACACAAGAAAATTGTGGTCGTCGATTTACAAGAAAAAAATAAATAGCAATGGATATTCTAAAAACTGATTTCTTACCTTCAGAACTGGAAGGTATATATTCGGACACATCGGCAGAGAAAGGCTCTCTATGACCACTCGACTCTACATCACTACCATTCAGGTCTAGAAATTTGCTACAACCAGGCCGTAATTTTTTTTTAAATTCGAATAAATCATTGCCATGTTAAATAAGTATTTCATCGGATTATACATATAATGTATTTGCACATAAAGGGTTTTCTGTGATATCAAAATCTTTTTCAACAATGTCTAAGTTTTCCATCTCGCCAGAAAATAAATTTTGTTCCATATCTATAATAAAATATAAACTATTTATTTTTACTTACAAAATTATAGTTATGACAATTACTTACCAGGTTCAGCGTCCTATTTCACTATTTTTCAAGCTAATTCTAATATACGCCTATTACGACTCATTTTAAAAATATATCTCGCTATTGAAACGCTTGTATAGTAAAAAAATATTAACTAAATTAAATAATATACAAGTTACATTCACGTAAATGGGATATACTGTAACTAGTAGAACACAAACAAAGCAGAAACTCATATAGCATATGGGATTCCCCGGTAAACTATGCATACAACAAGATTGACTTAGGGGATACACCGTGAAAATAAATCTAACTTGAGTTACAACCTTGTTCCATGGGGGTGTCGAAATGTTGCTTTATCCTCTTCAAATAAATACTTAAGTGTCCCTAATACGGAGTAAAAATAAATATGATTCAAACATATTGAAATTATGTATCTTACTTTTTTTACATGTTCAGATATTGCCAAAAATGTGATTCTATTTCTTGGAGATGGAATGTCTATTCCAACCATAGCTGCTACAAGAGTTTATATCGGTGGAGAAGAACAACAGCTATCATTTGAAAAATTCCCTTATACTGGATTTTCCAAGGTAAATAGTACAGTTTAATGGTTTTTATAAAAATTAGTTTCAAACTTATCACAAAAATTATAATATTAGATGACATTAGCAGGCACAGTAACACAGTATACTGTACTGCAAAAAATGTGATTCAGGTTTGAGTTTCAATAAGAATAGAAATCTAGAAGGAGATTGCTTTTGATTTTAACCCTGTCATTACTGATTTCATTGTAGTGAAATAAAACAGTTAAAAATGACTTTAATGATATTCGTTGACACCTGGAGACCTAACAAAGCGACTGAATTTTTTTACATTATTGCGTGTCCTTGTATACTTAGAAAGGACATGGGACATATATGTCCCATAAGTGTTGAATGGTGGGATAAATAAATCCCATCAGTAAAGAAACAAACTTACATACATTCAAAATAAAAGGTACATTACACAAAAAATATTACTTCATATGAATATATGAATGATGTGGTAAAAAACAATTTTTGCATAGAGGCACATTGCACCCTGTACAAATAGTCGTAGTTTGAATTCCTGAATTATTTTTTGAACATCTTAAGAACCTTCTCTTAGTAGGTATTTGTTGTGGCAAATGGTCTCCAACATTGATTATATGTTTCTATCGTTTAGATTTAGATATTCTTCCAGAACGGCCACTTATTCGTCTTTTTAGATTTGATGTCCATCTTTCTAATTCAATTAGCTGTTCTGCTAGTGGCATCAAAAAATTTAAAAGTGAAAAGTTTGTATTATCTTTTTGTACACTTATTTTATGCAAATCCTTGTAAATAATCTAAGAATTTACAATAGCGTACATGACTAATCTATAAAAAACTTTCCTCTCCATTTGGCAGATTTTCGATCCATATCATATGTGCTAACGTTTTGAAGGGCAAGATCTACTCCTCCCATAAAATTATTGTAAACAATAATTGCTTCTGGGCAAGTGAATTAAGCTTTTTCTCCAAATTTCGTTACTGATGGAAGGGCATGGGGCAAGACGATCGAAAAGCAGATGAATTGGTAGAGTTACAAATTGGAAATGAAGGCAAAAGAAAAGCCTTTACAAACGGTGATATATGAACTACCTCAGTATAAATATCAAGGTCCAAAGCACAATTAAACTTTTTCTCCAGTTTTCAGCTTTCTGTTGATAATTCCAACAGTTGTACTGTGACAATTGGACATCAGCATAACTTCCTTCGTGTTTTTCCATTTATAGTTGCTAAAATTCCTTTGGATGAAACTAAAAACTCAATATCACCTCGAATATTTTGTTAATATCAAATTTAGCTACATTTACCCGATTTTCCATATAGTTTCCTAAGCATGGAAAACTTAGGGAGTTTAGTATGTTGAACGAAGTGAAAAATCTATCAAAGCATAGACACACATCTGGTGATCGTATGGTGTTGGCTAGAGTTTCAACAACTCGTTCTCCTAGAGTTCTAGTGGTTGGTGTGGATTCTTTTTCCGAGTATATATTGAAATCATTATATTCTGTGAAAAAATCACAACGTTGCCACATTTTTATACCTCTTTTTACTGGCTTCTTAGGAAGCTTCAGGCAGATATATTAAATACAATAATTATTAATAAGTGGCCAGGATTTTCCTTGATTGCAAAGGATATTTGGTCATAGAATATTTAAACTTCTTTGCATGGACGTTCTGTAGTAGAGGCATACACTTAATATGGTCTTAAGAATATATCTTACTTTGATGTTTAAGTAGACCACCCTTGTTGAAATTTAGTTTATTGATATTGTTTGATAATCTGAGAGTATGGTAGAGAAAGACCTCAGCACAGCTATTCCGTGTCATCATCATCAATGGTGCTACAGCCCTATGAAAGAGCCTCGACCTTCCCAAGTCTATTACGCCAGACAGTCCTATCCATTGCCAACCGTTGCCAGTTTGCTGCGCCTATCATTCTACCATCCTCATCTACACCATCCTTCCATCTGAGTTTTGGCCTACCCCTTTTTCTGCTTCCCACGGGTTGTGACATAAGAATTCTTCTAGGAGGGTTGTTCTGCTGTGATCTTGCTAGATGTCCTGCCCATCTTAATCTTCCTATTCTTATAAGAGATACTACGTCTTTACCACCAAATATTTGTTTATATCTGTGGTATACCTCGTAGTTGTATCTCCTCATCCAAACACCATTTTCACAGATGCCACCAAATATTCCTCTCAGGATCCTTCGTTCAAATATAAGCAAAAGGTCTTCGTCTGCCTTGGAGATGGTCCATGTCTCCGATCCATATGTCAACACTGGCTGTATAAGGGTTTTGTATATAGTTATTTTTGTTTTTTGGCTTAAGTTTCTACTTCTCATATGTCTACTCAGTCCAAAATAGCATCTGTTTGCCATTACTATCCTTCGCTTGATTTCTTCCGTTATGGCGTTCTCTTTGGTGATCAGGGAGCCTAAGTATGTGAATTTGTCAACCACTTCAAAGGTAGAGTTATCAACCGTGAATTGGGGACCGATGTTCCTGGCTCTATTGTTGGGTGTTGATGCCATCATCTTAGTTTTCTCCTCATTTACTTGCAGGCCAATAGATTTTGAGGCACTTGAGAAGGTGGTATACATTTCTTCTAGCTTGCGTGTTGTGCGGGCAACTAGGTCCACATCATCTGCATATGCCAAAATTTGGGATAATTTATTAAAAATATTTCCTCTGTTGTCTATTCGGGCATCTCTGATTGCCTTTTCCAGTGCTATGTTGAAAAGGAGACACGCCAGCGCGTCTCCCTGTCGCAGCCCAACATGCGTTCCAAACGCCTGTGATTGTTCGCCCTGTATTTCGACTTTGCAAACCACATTACGCATTGTAGCCTTAACCAATCTTATCAGTTTATCGGGAATGTGGAATTCATTCATTGCTTCATACAATTTATTTCTTAGGACACTATCATAGGCAGATTTGAAGTCTACAAAAAGATGGTATGTATCGATATTGAATTTATTGGTTTTTTCCAGTATTTTCCTTAGCACAAAGATCTGATTTGTTGTTGATCGACCAGGCCTAAAGCCACTTTGATATTCACCGAGAGGTTCCTCTGAATATGTACTTAGGCGATCATATATGATCCTCGAAAATATTTTGTGCTATTCCGTGTAGCAACCAACAAAATAATCAATGCCAGAATGATCGCCAACGTTCGGAACGGATAGGCACCCTAAAAAGAAGAAGATACTGTTTGCAATTATTTTTTGAATAAAGAAACCGACGCCTCCAACTGTCGATTTTCTCTTCTCCTTTATAGTATAATAAAGGGGTTAATAGGAGTGTGATAAGACTCTCTTCCGTTTTTATAACTTCGCTATACCCACAATATTCCAATTCACTTTCTTCTTCCTCTATTTCTTTAAATCTTTGAATTTTTTAATAATTTTAATGATTATTTCAATTCTATACGACACAATTTTATAGCGGTAAGAGATGACAACTTCAAAAATAACCACTTCAAAAGTCTACTAGTTCACTAGTCTGAATACAACAAAGGAAAGACAACTGATAGCTACGAGCAAGACTATTTAATTAACTGAAGTGTTGAGTATACCTCAAATATTGCTAATATTTTATATTTGTTTCAGACGTACTGTGTGGACCACCAAACTGCCGATTCGGCATGTTCAGCGACAGCGTATCTTGGAGGAGTTAAAGCCAACAAGGGTACAGTGGGGGTTACTGCAGCAGTTAACAAAAGAAATTGCACAGCTATGAACGATCCAGACAATCATGTCGAATCAATTGCTAGACTTTTTCAACTTAACAGAAAAAGAACTGGTCTGGTTACTACTACCAGAGTGACACATGCTTCACCTGCTGGCAAGTATTTTAAAAATAGCGCTATATTTAGATATATAAACAATTGCACAGCCTTTATTTTAAATATATATGCTATTTTACGTAGAAAATATGTATAAAGCTGAGAACTTACAAATAAAAAATAGTCTTCTTAAAGACTGATTATGCTCATTAAAACACTAATGTATGAAATACTGTTTTAGGCGTTTATGCACATACTGCTTACAGACATTGGGAAAGTGATACTGACGTCCTAGACGACCACGAAAATCCTAAAGAATGCGAAGATATAGCTCATCAATTAGTTTTTGGAAAAACTGGAAAAAATCTGAACGTGATATTAGGAGGTGGGCGAAAAAAGTTTATACCTACTTACGAGAGAGATGATGAAGGAAAAAGAGGTCATAGAAGCGATCATCTGAATTTAATTCGGTTATGGATGGAACAGAAGGAGGCGATGAAAGTTAAATACGAGTACGTGTGGAACAAACAGCAGCTGTTGAATGTGAAAAATGATACAGAATATTTGTTAGGTAACAGATATACTTTTGTTTTTTCTTTTACGACTTTATCTCTACTTTAGTGCCGTTTCATCATTTTAAAATATATTCTACGATATTATAGCTACAGATCTTCTAGGCAATCTGCAATTAGAACCTGATCATCAACGTATTTAACACTTCATTATTTTTAGGTTTATTTGAATCAAACCACATGCAGTACAATTTAGAAAGAGATAACGAAACCGACCCTTCGTTAGAAGAAATGACAGAAGCAGCCATTGAAGTTCTTCAACGTGGACCAGATGGATATTTTCTTTTTGTGGAAGGCGGTAAAATTGACAAAGCTCACCACGCTAGCGCTCCACATAAAGCATTGGACGAAACAGCTGAGTTTTCAAAAGCTGTCCAAAGGGCCGTAGAGTTGACTAACGAGGAAGACACGTTGATAGTGGTTACAGCTGATCATGCGCATACCATGAGTTATGCTGGGTATGCAAAACGTGGTAGTGATGTGTTTGGGTATGGAGGAATAGCCAATGACGATAACTACTACACAATATTGAGTTATGCCAATGGTCCGGGATATAAATTGAGGAAAAACAAGAAGCGATATGTGCCGTCAGAGGGAGAACTAGGTAAAGCAATTTTAAAAACTATGGAAAGGGATATAGTGATTAGTACATAATTTTTAAATAATAATATACATGTTTTTAACAACTGCATGTTCTAAATATTTGATAAATGATGCTTAATATTGTTAACTTATTCTGCCAAAAGTCTATTCTAATTTGTTTTTTTTTTCATAAGTTCAATATTAATGAGCTACTGGTATATTTGCCCCTCCTATCATTCACATTGATACTATTTCCCTGTCTCTTTCTTTCTGATGTTTTCAGAAGATAAAAATTTGGTAATAACTTTTTAAAGATTGTATTATATAACAACAAAAAACAATTTCTCGATCCATACTCCGAAACAAGTGTCGTTTTATTATTGTTTACTGAAAATTCTTCTTTTTATTATCTAGAAGCTATTAGGTTTGTAACATATTTCATCAATTTTTTGAGAATCAATTTTTAAGCCGCGTATGTGACAATGAGAAAAATAAAAGCATTGAGCAACCTTAGTTTAGTCCTCCTTGTTATATTTCGGTCTATCCATGATTTATAATCAGTAAAAAAAGTCAGTTTCAAAAATCAGTTTGTAAAAAGTTAATGCGGTTCGGGCCACTGATAATCGATGCTTGATTTCCAAGGAACTAACGGCAACTTTATACATGCATGGATTTGGTGGCGCCAGTAGCCACGCCACTTCTGTATGCCAGTTTTATTTTGAAGTTTGCACTGTAAAATATGTATTTCAATTCTGTCTTTGCGTGGATGTTTACACGATAGTTATATGTCAATCGAGAAAAAGAAATTTGGAATACCTGTCAGGTATAATCGTATTCTAAAAAGTATTGTTGAAGAGATTATTAGCCATGCAGTAAATACATAACATTACAGCAAAGAGGCTGTATTTGATTAAGAAACTGGATTGCTAGTATAGTAGGATCGTTTTACCCTGTCGTATTTCGGATTAACGCCCGAAAAATAATTTATGACTCTAGTTACAGCCACTCTGTTTGCTTTCCCTTTTCTACCTGCTTTGTGGTACCGAACCTCCTACTGGTCGGCTGTAGTACTTGAGGACAAATCAGCGCTACCAAAACAATTTTTTTATAAATCGTGAAAAAACGCAAATTCCATAATATATTCAGACTATATTCAGAGAACACTATATTCAGAGAGCTGCGAAAAAGATCGCTAGCATTGAACGATCGCCGGTTTTCAATAGTGACAGTTTTTATCTCCGAGTGAGCGTCGAATTGTGTTGTGGAAAATTATTTTACTTTAAAAAAAATCAACATGGGACCAATTACATCAGTATATGCAGTTCAAAAAAGGACAAGTGCAGTTTATGGAATTTCAGAACGGACCTTGCAAAGAGTTCGCAAAATGAGTGAAGAGGAATTAAATAAGGAAAAATAAAAGGATTCGTTTGCATCCGAAAACCCTCGACTTGCCACAAGGTATTAAAATCTCAATCAGAAATATAATTTATGATATGTACAAAGCAAAAGAACATGATATGTACAGGACAGAGGACTTTGTGATACGGGTTTGACCAGTTTATCAAAAGTATTAAAAGCTATGGGTTTTAGATACAAAAAAAAAACAATAATCGTAAAATGTAAAAGGTGGAAATTTATAAGAAACTATTTAAAAAACAAGAATTCTGAATTTGTCAGACAATTTATGTTTTTTGACGAAACATGGATTTTTGCGAAAGGAAATAATACCAAATCATCCTGACAAGATGATTCTACCAAATGCTATTCGAGTACTAGTGCGAGTATTGCATGCAGGAAATACGGAAGGTTTTATACCCAATGCTAGTCTTATATTTTCTTCGACAAAAAAACTGATGATTACCACGGAAATATGGACGCCGATATTTTTGAACATTGATTTAAGGAAAAATTATTAAAAAATCTAGAAAATCCGTCATTAATAGTCTTAGACAATGCTTCGTATCACACCAGAGAGGAGGAAAAGTTTCCCACAAGCAGGTGAAAAAAAAAAGACTTAAGAATGTGGCTGTCGGAGAAAAATTTAGAACACTAATTTAGTTTTAAAAGCTGAATTATTAAATAAGTGCAAAGAGCACATTCTTCTTCTTCTTCTAGTTCCATGACCGCTATCGATCGTTGGATATCATGTTGGCTACCATATTCGCTATCGTGACTTTATTGACAGCAGCTCTAAATAACGATGTAGTTCATTTTCCATACCATTGCCTTAGATTTTTCAGCCATGATGTTCTTCTTCTACCAGGACCACGATTACCTTGGATCTTTCCCTGAATGATCAGATGTAAAAGATCATATTTTTCAGGGTGTCTCATAATATGACCGAAGTATTCCAGCTTGCGTTTCTTTATTATATTGACCAGTTGTGTTGTTTGGTTCAGCCGTCCAAGGACCTCCTCATTTCTAACTCTGTCGACCCAGCTTATTTTCAGTAGTCGTCTGTATACCCACATCTCAAAGGCTGTCAAGCGTTTAAGCATAGCCTCAGTTAGGGTCTCCATACAGCAGGACAGGAAAGATGTAGCAAGATATCATACGAACTCTAAGGTCAATGCTAAGATCATGACTGCAAAGTACGTTTCTCATTTTTACAAAGGCAGCTCGGGCTTGTTCTATTCGGCTTTTAATTTCTGCGGTTGGATCCCAGCTCTCATTGATATTACTGCTGAGATACACGAGTTTCTCTACTCTGTCCATTGTGGCATCTCCGACTTTTATACCGTCGTTCTGAAGCTATTTTCTTGTGGCATTGTAAATTAATTACTATTTATAACTAAGAATAAGCCACAATTAAAGATAAAAATACGTTTATTGACGTTTCAATTTCCAATTCGGAAATCGTTCTCAAAATACAAACAGTAAATTTACTGTTTGTATTTTGAGAACGATTTCCGAATTGGAAATTGAAACGTCAATAAACGTATTTTTATCTTTAATTGTGGCTTATTCCCAGTTATAAATAGTAATTATTTTATACCGTCATCATGTATATAATTTTGTTTGCTAACTATCATATGTTTAGTTTTCTTAACGTTGAGTTTTAACCCATACTGATCACAAGTCTGTTTTATTTTGTTCATTAGATTTTGAAGGTCTTCTCCGCAATTGGCAAGGATTAAGCTATCGTCGGCATATCTAATATTGTTGACGGTTACTCCATTCACAATAATACCTTCGGTTGTCTCCATTAAGGCTTCCTTAAATATTTCCTCCGAATATAAGTTAAAAAGTAAAGGCGACAATATACAGCCTTGTCTCACTCCTCTTTTTATATTTATTTCATCGACAGTTCTTGTTCAACCTTTATTCTTGCCACTTGATGCCAGTATAGATTTGTAATTATTCGTAGATCTTTATCGTCCAATCCAGCTGTTTCCAATATTTCTAGCATTTTGTTATGTCGGACTTTGTCAAAAGCTTTTTCAAAATCGATTGCACAAATATACACATTTTGATTTATATCTCTGCATCTCTGTACTAGCACCTGTATACTAAACAAGGCTTCTCTTGTGCCCAAGCCACTCCTAAACCCAAATTGAGTATTGCTAATTCTGTCTTCTAACAGCGTATAAATTCTGCTGTGTATTACTCGCAGAAAGATTTTCAAAACGTGACTCATCATACTTATTGTCCGATAATCACCGCATGTCTTTGGATGATGTTTCTTAGGTATTGTGACAAATGTCGACTTTAACCAATCAGTTGGTAATATCTCAGTGTCATAAATTCTGTTAAAGAGATTACACAGAGCTTTAATTCCATTTTCTCCCAAAAACTTTAGTATTTCAGCACTTACTTCATCGGGGCCAAGTGCTTTTCCATTTTTTGCCGTTTGTATTGAACGTCTTACCTCACTTTCTGTTATAGATGGACCTGATATAGCAATCGGTGTATAGTGTTCTACTCTCTCATCTTCAAATAATTCAGAAATGTAGTTTTCCCATTCTTTTAACTTTTCATTGATGTCTAATATTCTGTGTCCGTTTCTGTCTTCTAAACTTTGGGATACTTGTTTCCATTTGTTTCCAGCGACCTCTTTCAATTTCTTGTGCAGATGAAATGTATCGTGTTTCTTTTCATATTGTTCAATTTCATTACATTCTTTACTATGAAATTGTGTTTCATTATGTGAATAAAGAACAGATTACTGAGAAAAAATTTGTCGTTAACCAAATGGCACTAAAAGATGGTCGTGAGGTCCTAAGACTACCACTGTAACACTGTCAGTACAATCCAATTGGTATGGGGGCATCACAATCCAATTGGTATGGGGGCCGTAACAAGAATTCCGAATTTGCCAGACAATTTGTGTTTTTTGACGAAATATGGATTTTTACGAAAGGAAATAATACCAAATCATCCTGACAAGATGATTCTACCAATTGCTATTCGAGTACTAGTGCGAGTATTGCATGCAGGAAATACGGAAGGTTTTATACTCAATGCTAGTCTTATATTTTCTTCGAAAAAAAAATGACTACCACGGAAATATGGACGCCGATATTTTTGAACATTGATTTGAGGAAAAATTATTAAAAAATCTGGAAAATCCGTCATTAATAGTCTTAGACAAGGCCTCGTATCACACCAGAGAGGAGGAAAAGTTTCCCACAAGCAGCTGAAAAAAAAAGACTTAAGAAAGTGGCTATCGGAGAAAAATTTAGAACACTAACATTTAGTTTTAAAAGCTGAATTATTAAATAAGTGCAAAGAACACATTACTGAGAAAAAATTTGTCGTTGACCAAATGGCACTAAAATATGGTCATGAGGTCCTAAGACTAACACCGTATCACTGTCAGTTCAATCCAATTCGTATGGGAGCATCACTAAAAACTACTATGATAAACATGCATGTAAGACCATCGACGAAGTCAGCGTTTTACAACTCTGGCAAGATGCACTAAACCAAGTCAATGAGGAACAATGGCGGAAATGTATTGAGCATACTGAAAAAAAATTTAGAGTCATATGAAATAAAACAAGTTATTGACGAAGTAAGACCTTTAATTATTCGTACAGATGAAGATTCAGATGAATTGGATAGCGAGTCAGATAGTGATTATACGTGTCCATAGATTAAGACGTAGATAGAAAGATTAACATAAAAGCGTACTAACCACCAAAAAAAAATAACAATCGCAAACTACCGCTGACTACCTGGGGCAAATCTGAACAGACACTTTTATTACTTATGCGACAGCCTAAAACGATAGGTAGAAATAATATAGGTAGAAATTTGGTGCTTAAAAAAAATTCTACCATAACTTTCAACTAAGGATCTAGAAAATTACAAAAACTCTTTACATATGTCTGAGAAACAGTTTAAATTTCCTCGTCAGCGAGTTACACATACATTCTATTTTCTTTCCTCGCTCTGCTAAATCTTGAATGTTGTTTCCTATTTTTGTGGTATATTGTAGCATAAGTCTTCTTTCTGCTACTAATTTTGAGGTTTTCTCAGACATCTAATGTATATTCTTTTGGATTTTATGGGTTGTTCTTTTTTTGTCGAATGTCTCCAGTAATTTTTTTAGTTCCATGTTGTATTGATGTCTTTTATTATTTGTGGTTTTTTTTGTTTATTAGTTTTATCTAGAATTCTTCATCTTTCATCTTGCTTACTAGTTTGATCTGGAAACTAATAAAGAAACAAAAACGTAAAGCTAAGTTAGACATCCAATTATTGAAAAACGGCACTATACAATGGACAGAACAAAGAAAAGAAAAGAGAAAGATAGAAAAACGCCTAAAAGCAACAACCAGTAACAATAAAGAGGAATGGATAACAGAAGAGATTTTACAATTAATGGACAAACGAGGAGAATCCAAAGATGACAAGATGGAGAATACAAAAGATAAACGGAATCGAAATAAATCGAAAAATAATTACCAAGACAAAAAAGAAAGGAATGGAAACTAAATGAGTTAAAATAGAAGAACTGCAACTAAGACACGATTTTTTAAATTTAAATAAAAACATAAAAGGGTTCAGGCTAGAATAAATATTCATCCCACTAACAAAAAGCCTAACCCACAACACTGAAACGAGTTCCGTCTAATAATCTCTCCACATGCAGTAAAAGTCCTATTAAAATTAGTACAAAAGCGAATCTATACAAAATGCGAAACTATCATCGAAAACTATAAGTTTGGATTCAGAGCCGGCATGGGAATGAGAGAATTCCTGCTCAGTCTGAAGTACGTCTCCCAAAACTAGTCTTAATGGGGACCCCTCACGGTAGAAAAAAAGAAGAAGACCCTGACTGGGATGAAGAGAAGGTATCAATAGAGAAATGAAAGACAGAGACATTGAAGAAGACTTATAGATGAATCGAGAGGAGTGACAAACAACTGGGTATCGGAAGACGTAGGAGAATGTTTTAAACCGATCTATATATTATATGAAGTTCATTTGATTTTTGTGTTTGTTGTTTGGAGTAGTCAATGTTTTCTCTGCTGTGCATGGGATCATTTATCTGGTAATATATGATCAATATAGCATATCTAATAAGACTTTGACCTTCTTATATTTTATTGTGACCATGTTAAGTTACTTCCTTTTTTATATTTTATTAATTTTTCCAATGATCTTTTTTCTTCAAGTAATTTTCCTTATATTTTTGTTCTGTTTTATAATTTTAACTTCTCTTACGTTTTTTTTTTTCAATTTTTTGACATTGGTATCATACTGCTTTCTCGTGTGTCAATGGTTTCCTGTCAACCTACTTTTTACACTTTATCTCTATGAGATTACACATAACAACACTTAATTGTTGACCTTATTTCTTTATATTTTTCTAATGGTAAATCTTTATATTAATTCTCTATTTTATACTTTAATGGCTTTATTGTGGGAATTTTTATTTTAGCGCTTATTTGAAAATTCACCATTTGCTTTGCACGAACTAATTCTTATTTTAGATAAAATCAGTACCAAATGGCCATCATTAGCTCCTCTACGTGTGGAAACTCATGGGGCAGACGATGTTGGTATTTTTATAAGAGGACCCCAAGCGCATCATTTTACCGGAGTAATGGAACAGAATGTACTCCCACATTTAATGGCTTTAGCAGCATGCGTGACCGAAAACTCTTCATGTGATAATACTTATATAAAGCAACCTTAACAAATTAGCATTACAATATCTTTAAGTGTAAAAAACTAATGCGCCCAGCAAACAGTGATACTGATTGTGATAAATAAATTGTAATATATTGTCAATAATATAAATATAAAAGCTCCGTTATGATGTAACGAATATATTTTGCCTATCACATGTGGTATTACTATAAGGGGTAGAAAATTGGGGACAGAAATTATTGGGACAAAGAGAAGGCAAACAAAATAATCGATACTTATGCAGACGGCACTTAGGGGTTAATTGGAGAGCTGGTTCGTGGATAAAGTGAATTACAAGGGGTCAGATTTAGGCCAACTACCAAAAAATTAAACAAAGGGGTACTTAGATAAACCTTATGGACAAATGCGCAAATAGAACAACAAGAAAAGACTTCTAGCTATTGAAAGAAGGACGACGCTTTGAGGAATCCTAAACTTGCTGGATTTAGGGAAAAGGCTCTTCTTCCCTAAAAAAGTAGAAAACAGAGAGGAGTTAGAAGATTTTTCTAAAATAAAAGACAAAATAATTAAGCAGATGAAATAAACATTTATTTTTTCTCAAACACACAGTTACACAAACAGATTATCAAATTACATGGGTTTATACCAAAATAAAATATAAAAAAACTTGCATATGTCCTATCTGTTTACAATTGGGAATCGCTACAAAAACTTTCAAAACTATTATTAGGTTAGAACTGTGACAGAAATAAATTATTAAAACAAACTAATTATTTTTTATAAATAAAAATATCATAAAGGTTAACCTTTTCTACAAACAAATAAAAAATGTCACAAATTAAGGCTAGCTGTGATATTTTAACATTTAGTTTGATGACAGAACAATTAAATTGACAGCATAACCACATCCTAAGATTTACAACATTTTATTATTAAAAATTTAAATTGTTATGAAAGCAATTATTGTTATTTGAAAAAAATGTCTACTTTACTTTAAAATTAAACACAAAAGTTACCTGGATTTTCACGAAAATTTTGCACTAAAACTTCTGGGATTATTGCTAAAATTTCTGGGGTAGAACTGGAGTTGAACTTTCTGGACACGAACAAAACAAACTGCTTCAGGAACAAATAAGTGAGGTTGAAGAGACACTTATGCAAACCTTGGAAAACGGGATTTCTTAAGAAAAAACGAGGACGATCTTATTCACTTTTCAAATGTTGACATAAATCTTTAGAATATCGAAACAGTGGTTACTCCAAATTCCAAATTCGACATATTACATAGAGAAAAATTCCAGTTATTTTTGATCACACCACATAACAACGAACCGTTCCCTTTGATCAACTCTTCAAACCTAAACTTGACCTCGCCTCCCCGATTTCAAAACCGGCAAGCTACTATACCCTCTTCTCCGGGCCCTGCTGCATACCGCTGAATCAACTAAATTCCTTAACTTCAGCTCGTAAAACAACCTTGAGATATTTTTCAACTTGATTTTAGGATCGTAGATTATCGTCATTATCACCATCATGTAGTAACAGTAGCAGGGATGTCTGCTTATTTTTATTGTTCACAACCGTTTTTGTAAAGTTACTATACCATCTTCCATGTCTTTTTCCGTATGGGCTGTTGTTCTGTATTTGTTGTCCGTTCTTATCTTTGGTCAATTTGTAGATGTGCTGATCAATCTTTCTTATTCTGTTTCTTATCCATCTAATTATGTCGTCGAATTTTCACGTTTCTCTTATCTGTGTTTCTTGGTGTGTCATTTAGTGTGTACTCCATTACATGTCTTTATTCGATATTGGTTGTTCTTAATTTTCTTTCTGTTATTGATGTTTTGTTTTGTTTTTACTGCCCATGTCCCATTATAGGACTTGGGTGTCGCGAATAGAACTTGGGAGTGTTCTCGTAGTGCCACTGATGGCACTCATATTATGTGCTCGAACAATTGGACTTCTCTGCAGCTGCATGCCGAAAAAGGTAGCTTATCCCACATGTGCAACGTATATGTACATTGACCGTGTTCAATTCTGATGCAGTTAAGTATGCACCTGGTCTTTGTAGTAGGTTAAATCTAGGCGGTCTTTTTGCGATAGTTGGTTGAGGTTCTTATCATTTATTGATCGAGCGCAGTCGACTTTGACTGCATCTTTTATATAGATATTATGTATCGGCAGCGGCCGTAATATTATTAAAGTTCTTTTTGAGTCTGCGAGATATGTTGGTGAATGTCGCTTAGCACTGGTAGTCAATGATATATGTTGTTGTGGATTTGATTACTTTACTGATCATCCTCATGGTGTTATGTAGTTAGATATCAATCTTTTAAACATAAGCACTATGGATTTATATTGTTAAGCAATATTCAGCTACAGAATAAATAAGAGCTAACACTAAAGACCTGAATGTGGATCCCCTTCACTCGTTGTATCACAGAGTATCTAAATTATATCTGGTTTTTAGCCTCTCTGCAATTGTTCATAAATTTTCTCTTAAGCTTGTTGTTTAATTGACAGCAGATTACTTTGGTTTTGGAGGTGTTGGGTTGAAGTCTCCATTTTTTCGAAGTAACTTTTTGTAATTTGTAGGTCTTTCGTCAGAATCTGTTTAGCTTCGTTTTGGAATTTTTTGTATATCAAGTCATGAGCATATGCTTATTTTAAATTAAAAAAAGAAGCAGAAATAGATGATGGACGGGCCAAGAATATCAAAAGCTCTACATACCAATAAATACAATATTTTGCGTAAGATTATACAAAGGGAAATAACAAGAGCAAAAGAAGTATGACTGCATCGATATATATTTATATATATATATATATATATATATATATTATATATATATATATATATATATAATTTTACATAGATTTACAATACTACCACGTGAACATGACTTTTTTCTTTATCCATCCATCAATACCAGAAAACAACGCAATACCGGCATAATTATAGTAGCAGAGGGCCAGATTTGGACAACAATTGAAGACAAATTAAGAAGATGAAAAGAATACAATTTATAATTATTCGAAGATACAGCTAGTACACTTACTGAAATACACAACTCCTACAGCCCAAAAGTATTAAACGAAGAAGTAACAGTGGCCATTAAGCAGAAAAAAGATAAGAAATCACCAGAAGTGAATGGTAAAATTTTAAAGCTATTAGTGGTATACCAAGTCACAGCTCCTACGAAAGCTATTTAACAACATATATTAGAGTGGTCACATACCAAAAGACTGATTGCTATCATATTCGTTTCACTTTCACCAAAAAAGACAACGCTAGGTAATTTAAAGAACATAGATTAATTAGTTTTAAGAGCAATGTACTTAAGTACTTCTTACTATAATTTACTTTTACAATCTTCTTCTTCTTCAAGTGACATCTCCGCGGCAGAGGTCGGCAATCATCATAGCTATTCGGACTTTTGAAACGGCTGCTCTGAAAAGTTCATTTGATGTACATCCATACCACTCTCTCACGTTGCGCAGTAATGACATTCTACGCCTCCCTACGCTTCTCTTTCTTTGGATCTTTCCCTCCATACTCAGTTGAAGCAAGGTGTATTTCTCTCCACGTGTAATATGTCTGAGCTATTCTAATTTTCTTGTTTTAATTGTATTTAAAATTTCCATTTCTTTGTTGATCCTTCTCAGAACCTCTTTGTTTGTTTTGTGTTCTGTCCACGATATTTTCAGAATTCTTCTATACACCCACATCTTGAATGATTCCAGTTTTTTCATTGATGTCGCATTCAAGCTCAAAGATTCGATTCCATAAAATAAAGTCAAAAAAATATAGCACCTCGCCAACCTAACTCTTAGTTCCAGTTTTAAATCTCTGGTACACAGCACTCTTTCTTATTTTGTTAAAATTTGCTCTAGCCTTTTCTATTCTTATTTTGATCTCCTGAATGTAATCATTTGTAAAGTTAATCATTGTTCACAGATATGCATATTTGTCCTCTTGTTCGACGTTGGTTCCGTTTATTAGAAGATTCTTGATATTTCTTTGAGTTTTCGATATTCTAATAAATTTTGTCTTCTTGACATTTATTGTTGGACCATATTCTTTTTCATACTCTGCTATTCTGGTCACCAGTCTCTGAAGATCTTTAATGTTTTCGGCTAAGGTCACAGTGTCGTCCGCATATCTAATGTTGTTAATGGGAACTGCATTTACCTTTATTCCAGCTGTTTCACCCTCAAGAGCGATTTTCAGGATCTCTCCTTAGTAGGCATTAAAAGACTTTTACAGTATACCATATTATAAAAACATCTTAGTGAGGTTCAATTTTGATTCAGACTCTAGGACATAAATCGAGGAAAGCAGTTATCAGTTTGCAAGTTATAATACAGAAAATCGCAGAGTTAATGATGCAAGTAAAGCGATGAAACTGACAATAAATCTTCAAAAACCTAACACAGGATGTAAACTGCGATGATTATTTATGGTTATGGTAATGGTAGATCGGGAGAGGGCTCATTTATCAGCGCTTCAGACACTTAGATTTCCTAAGACGGTCCCATTGTATCACTCTTATTATACGAAATAGGCCCATAAGGACCTAGTCTTCGGCGTTTTTAAAGCACAGGCTTCTCATGGCTCGCATATCTGCCATAATCAGCAGGGGCTCCAAGTCTGAGCCCTTCCTGTCATTCCGAACGTCTAATCTCAGTCACAAGTCTCTTCACGGTTAACTCTCTAATTTGGCTTGGTTGCATAAAGACCAAATTCAGGATTTACCACCTCTGATAGGATAGTTTCGGGCACTTACAGAGGACATGTGAAGAGGTTTCCTTCTCCTCATCACAAAGACGGCACTGTGGGCCATCTGCTAATCCAAGCAGATGATTGTGCCGCCGGAGTCTACAGTAGCCAGTAAGCATACTGGCCCCCAGAAAGCATCTTGTACGGTCTAGAATAAGAAGTAAGACTTTTGAATGCCCCCACTATGTGAACATATCTCCTATCTCCACAACTGGCTTAGGAGTCCTGAAACCTTCGCAGAAGAAGCTCTTTAAGACTACCCCGACCAGTACTGACGGGCACTGCACTTGATTGTAAAAATATAAGACGAATC